AGTCACATAATTGAAGGTTATTTTTATATAAAAACAAAAATTCGGTTGGGAAATCATTATTTGTGGTGTTGAGATATTTTACTTTGGGACTAAAAAATTAGGTGAAATAATTGCTAACTAAAAGGTATTTATTATTTTCTAAAATTTTTAAGCTCATTACATCCCGATGTTGCTGCGGTTCTGCTGAATGTTCAGCCCTTCGGTCGTCGGCGTGTCTGAGGTTCGAAGTGCCTTCTCCCTCGCCGGAGTCCGGTCAGCGATGGGTAGTCCCCTCTCGGTCGCCGGCCCCTCGATTGGCGAAGATAAGCCCTCTCTCTCCTTCGGATTTTGTCGGCGATTGATGTCCCTTTGGATCGTTCCTGCTTTCCCCGGAGGGGCTTCCGAAGGGGTCTTGGTTGTTGGTCGGCGGATCTTAGTGGTGCTTGGTGGTGTGCGGTTCTGTGGATGGGAGTGGCTCCAGATGTTGCGACGGCTTCCGTGGTGGCGGACGGGGTTGAGGGCCGTTTCCTTCTCACACTCCCCGTTTGTCTAGTGGTGTTAGACGGCGGGGAGGTTCTTCAGCTCGTCTAGTGGTGTTAGAAGAGTTCGGGTGGAACCGGTGTGGGTTTGTAGATGGCTCTCTAGGTCTTTGATGGGTCGATTTGTGGACTAGTTCGGGGTTAGGATTCTTCTACTGTATAGGCTTGATTGCAGTTTCGGTAGCCGGTTCTTGTCTTGAATTTGTCTTGTGTCGATCGTTCACTTCTGGTTTGGGCTTCTCCGTTCGCTGGGGAAGGGCTGCTAGTTTATTTTCTTTTGTGTTTATTGTTTAGTTTTTGTGTTCGTGTTTGTCTTTGTGTTTTAGGTTGTGTCTTTGGTTTGGGCCGTTTGGCCTCTGTGAGCCCGGGTGTCAAACTTATTACTACGTTGGGGTCCGACACTCGGGTATTACCCTGTTGGGGTCCTTATAGTTATTGTAGTTGTCTGTGTTGTTGGTTAGTTTAGTTATGAGTGTGTTTTTTTATTCTACCGTTGCTAGTCGGGATTCTAGGCGGGCTTCTGACCTGTCCTCCCACTTTTTCAGCTGTTGGCTGCTGTGTATTCGCACATTTGTGCATTTTGATTTATATAACTATCTATCGTTTCGGGAAAAAAAAAAACTATAGTGGACTTTTTTATTTTAGAATTTTATTTTTGTCAAATTACTATCAATAT